ATAGAAAGAGAACTTATAACCACAATTTACCCTCCCCTCCTTCAATTTTTACCCCTTCCTGTCTTTCTACTTCATCCCTTGTCTTCCTACCCTTTTGCAAAAATCAAAAATGGCATTGGCCATGTTACAGGTACAGACCATTTGTCAAAGATTTGTTCCTTCCCTCTCTGCGTGAGTTAATCATTCCCAGCAAGCTTTCTGGGGTGATGAGTCAGTAGCACAAAGAAATGACAGATTAAATGTGGTGTTTATTTTCCTCTGCTTTTCTTTAAGCATGGCCGTCTCCCCCATCTGCAAGCACAGAGGAAGGGGTAACCAAATGTACTGCAGCTGGGAGCTCTAAGGATAATGTCTCCAAAACCTGCAGCTTCCAGTAAAAGCCTTGTATTTTTTTTTATTCTTTTTGCTGTTTACTCAGCAACACACTGTGTTAAAAGTTGCAACATTCATCTTTAAACATTAATTACCAAGGCATGATTACTTCAAAAATCCACTGCCCGAGGCCAGGGCCTAGGAAGTGGAAAATGTAATTTCAGAAAGCGATGAGAACAAATGCTGAGTCTTTTAATTGCAGGTTAGTAGAAATGACTAACAGTAAAGCAAAACTCATTTTGGATGAATTTGTTGTTCTGCATGTCAAATCCGAAACTTAGCAGTGAGTTGCCTGGGGTTTGTTTTTTCCCCCCTACTCTTTTTGTAGAAGTCAGAGAAGTTGATAAATTTTTGAGAGGTGCAAGAAATATTTTTCTAAAAATTCAGTTACAATTATTTAAAAGAAAGAAAGAGGAAATGATGCATGCCGAGTCAAGCAAAAGTTGCAGTCATTATTCAACAATTACTGTGCTCTTTTGGACCTCCATTTCAGGATGAAGGCTGCAGCATCTATCTCCTTCTCCCTCAGTTCTGCTGAAATGTATCTGGAATTACCAACAGTATAACAATGGATTGGGCCTGCTTCATCACGTGTGGCAACACAAGATTACATATGCTGCTGTGACTCAGTGTTACCCTATCAGATGTCCCAGCCTGCTGCCAACAGAACCACTGCAATAGCAATGGTATTTTCATCTCCAGCCTTCTGGCCTTGCTGCTGGCAGAATGGGGACAGCCCTGCATGGGCATTTTTGCAGGGCCTCAAAGGCACTTCTTTTCACACAAAGGTAGAGGGTTTGTTCATTCCAGCCCCCACTGCCATACCTGGGAGCACACATCTGATGGGAGATCTGACTCACAGACTGATGGGCCTGAGGCTGATTTCCTGTGACCATAGGAGAGACCATAAGAGCACAGTCTGTGATGGTCCTCAAGTTGCAGTTATGCACTGAAGTCTGGAAGCCAAAGAGACCCCAAATTGCTTTTCTAATGGTGATGTTCACTGGCAAACTTCAGTTCTGCTTCTGGGTGTGCTCAGCACTGCACTGAACAGCTTGGTGTCTGGCCTCCCTAGGATTGAGAGATGGCATGCCACTTCCCTAACAGAAGGGCTTGAACCACTAGGTTCAAAAACCTGCCTAACCTCTCATGGTTCATCCAGACGAGCAAAGACAAGAAGTTGGTGATGATACTACTTGTGTCCCACCTCCTCTACCACTTGCTTTTAACAGTTCTGTACCGAAAGCTTTTCCCCTGTGACCTGGGAGATCTGGTTTCTCTTGCTGAGTCAGTGTGCACCCCTCTGTCTGTTAAATGGGAAACAAAGACTTTCTTTACTCCATGGCCATTCTCACCAGGCCTGTGCTGCAGACCCTTGCCCACAGGCCAGTTTTGGCAGGATGGCTCATGACCACACTGTTAAGAGTTTGGTCCCTACTGAGTGGGCTGGCTGCAGCCATGCTGACAGTGCTCAGCTCACGCCTCTTCTCGTGACCCTGTAGCTAGTAGTCATGGGCTCATGGGCTGGGTGGTTTTTTTCAGTTCAAACTATGAAGAGTACTAACAGGTGCATGTTGCAGGTCAGCCGAGCAGTGCTGTGTCAAACACATTATAATGCCAGAAAAAAAAATTTTTTTCTTCCTCTAGGAAAAGAATTGGTGAGCACAAACGATGCTATTGCCCAACCTTGAATAATGATGAAGCACTGCCCTTGCTAAAGGAAACACATTTGGCGTCTTCCAAATCCATCCTATCTGTTTGGAGCAAACCCTGGAGTAGTTTACTCAGTTGATGACACTCACATTTCCCCTTGGGGATACCAACAGATTTGTTCCAGAAGGACACTCAAGACACTGATGGGTGCCTGCCATACTGACACAGGTGGTATGAATGACCAGGACACTCATCCCCAGAGAAGAACAGCAGTGCACCGAGCTACTAGTACAGACACAGCATTTTTAAGCAATTGCTGTTCTACTTTGGTGCAGTCCATGAAGCTCAGGAGAGGTATCTCAGACAAAGCATCAAGCAGAACATCAATACCAAGTGAAACACGGTGTTGTACAGTAGTCCTCAGTTGGTGTGGTCAAGTAAGTGATGTACATTTTCCACTATTCCTTTCTCTCACAATTTCAGATCACCAGGTGAGTGCTGCATTTGTAGATTGACATCTGGAAGTGACCAGGAGAATACTGAGACTTGCACTGTCTCCCAGCATTCCCTCCTTTCCCAGAAATCCAGTGACCAGTTTCAACTCTGTTTTATCACAGGTATGACCTATAAACTGAGATGAGTTTTCTGTGCCTCTGCCCTCTTGAATGTCCCTACTGCTCTATGGAAACCCAGCTGCCACTATGTTTTCCTGACGGCCTCTAAGATGATTGTCAAGGACAGAAAATATTAATTAAATTTTAATTAATAAATTGAATACTGTGGGGTTAATTATAGCTATTTACGGGGAGTGTATGGGATTTGGAGAGCCTACCTTCTGGTGTTTCTGCACAAAGTGTTGCCTCTTCCTCTAAGCTCTAATTAGCTGGCTTTTTTCTTTTTAATAGCCAGCCTTCAAATTATTGCTCAGTAGCTCCCATTTTGTTCCTCATCAGCAGTCCTCCAGCACAGCTGCTACAGAAGAGAAGCAGCCCTGTAGTTTGCTTTGCAGGGAGCAGGTGATAAAGAATCTATCAGAAGTGGTATAAACCAACAACATTAAAAAAACAAACAAAAAAACAAAAAACAAACAAACAAAAAAAAGAGGCTCAGCCCCTAATTATGTCTAGAAAGGGAACTATGTAAGTAACAAAGGACATGGCTAGAAATAAGAAGCAACATCTGAAGCTGCTGTAAGGTCAAAAATGTTCTCTCTGTATGCAGCCCTCTTGTCCAGCTGCATGTTCTGCCTTTCTGCATATGCACAATGCCAAGAGCCATAAACAGAAGATAAGCACCTGGGAAAAAGCAAGCTGTTCCAGTACAAAGTCAACTGCTCCACTCCTTATTTTCAACCTACCGGTTTCCTCCTTCATGGTAAAACCTTTTTAAAATTTAAATGGACTTAATTATCTGTATTTTAAAACCATTACTTCTAGTTACTTAGTGTATAGCTATAAAGAAAAAGGGTCCTTTCAGGACACTGCTAAACTGAAGGCACACAGTAACACACTGTGCCCAGATACCAGGAGTTTATTCAATGCAGCTTTTCAATTTCATGCCACAAGATGAAAACCAACAGCGCCTAAGAACAAGCACAGAGCAGAGCTTTGGAAGTTTGGGGGTTATTTTGGATGTTGTTTTGTTGGTTGGTTTTTTTTTTGCAAAAGTGACGAACATGATCAGTAGGCAGACCACTGCTTTCCCTCAAGTATCTGCTCCTGCCTGTTAACTGTTCAGGACTGAACGGTTGCCACAGAGGGAATGGAGGGCAGCGGCTGGAGGATGAGGACTGCCACCAGCGCCACAGCCGGTAGCTGGCCTGGTGCCTGTCTTCCCCTTCCTACCACAGCAGTTGGCTCTGCATAGTAGGCACAGGAACCTGGTTTTGGCTCCTGCTGAGGTGAGATGGGGTAAAGAAAAGAGGGGGGAAAATATGCTGTTTATTCTTTTTGTAACCAAGAGCAATAAGGCTAGTAAGAGAAAATGGGGATAGACTGGCCAACACAGAGAGCAAGATATCTCCAAAATTTCACATGGATCCCTGTGGTTTCTGAGGTTGGAAAACCATTGCCTAAATTAAGAAAGCTATCTTCCATCTCAAGAAAGGCAAATGTAACAGCCAGAATTGCTCTTGCAGAAAAGCCTAACTCGTCTGACTCCTTAAATGTGCTTGAAAGTTTTATTTACTCTCCTTTGCAGCAAAATGGTTTCACTGCCCAGGGGTCCTCAGCTGAGGGCCCTCCAGCCCCAAGGTGTCCCCTCACCCCAGGCTTTGGCTGAAAGTCACACTGCAAAAATCCTCCTCCAGGTCTACCTTCCACATCCATAGAGGTTTTCCCAAAACAGAGAAGATAAAGCAGTGTCTCTTCTTCTAGTATCCGGAATCATGACACCTGAGAAATGCTTGCCAGTAATAACTGCTTGCATCAATACATGCACATCTACTAACAGAGTGGCAGTGCCCACACAGCACATGTTGCAAGACATCCTTTAAAAAAACCAACCCTGAATGGTGTCTTCAGACAGGCTTTTCTCCACTTCAACAGCAAAACTAATCTTGTAATAAGGAGGCAAAAATCCTGCTGCTTAGAGCTTCTGCTGCTCCCAGGATTTAGCTGCTTATTCAAGTCCCAAGATCCCAATCACACCGGTGATTATTGGTCACCCCCCACGCCAGTCACCCGTGGGCTCAGAGGCCGGGAGCCAGGCAATGAGAGCACAGGCTTGGTTACAGGCTTAAAGGGCTGAGAGCCTTTAAGGAGGCTGAGACCTCGGATTAGCGAGGGTGTTTCCAGCCGGGGCGGCGCTGCCCGCCTGGCTGAGCCTGGATAAGGGAAGAGCTGCCGGCAGGCTCGGGTTGCCGGTGCCACCTTCTGGACGCACACGTAAGCATTATTCACCTTCCCTTTGGGATGGAAGAACACCAAGGAAAGTGGCTTCATTTCACTCTCCAGTCCTGCGTTTTGGGGTTTCTTCACCTTTTAATCCATCGCTATGTAGCACATAACAGACGGGGGAGCGGCCCCAGCGGCGTGGCAGCAGCAGAACTCAAGGCAGCTTCACAGTGCATCCCACTTTCTGTGGAGAAGTACCTATCACAAGGTGGGAAAAATGCTCTCCCTTTAGCATTTTGTCTTCTCTAAGCATTTCTGAGAAACAGACAAGTATGGCAGAAGTAGGCACAAAAAAAGTGGCACTAGTTTAAGAGGCATCTGTGCATTTTAGGGGTGAAAAGCAGGGGTATGCAAAAGCACCCTGGTTAACGCCAGAGGCACCATCCCAGGGGCTCACAGAGTATTAATTTCAGCAAGGACTAGCCTGTGGAGAGGGGTCTGACTCGCTGGCCCATTAGCTTCAATGGCCATGTATGAGTGCAGACATCATGAAGTTTTGCCATTTATGTCAATAGCAGTTGAGTTCTCACAGGAAATTGTCCTCTTTAACAACCAAAACACAAACTGTTGTGTGTGGTTACACCACACACATTACTGAGAGCAAGACTAAGGTTAGAGAAGCCACCTCATTCTGAAAAAATCCAAAATTATATCTCCCACAAACAGCAGCTGCAGTTCTTCCTATTTCTTACCGCTGCCTTCCTAGTGGCAAGCAGGATACATACACCTAACCCAACCCTCAAAGATGGCTTGCAGAATAAGCTAGGGAACAACTTTTAGTGCAGAGAAGATGTCTCCAAGGAATGGTTTAAAAAGTACAATTAGGAGTGGCAGACCAGAAAAAGCTGTGAGGTTGGGAAGAAATGTCTGAACTGGTAGAACGCAAAGAGGAGCCAAAAGAAAGAGCTATGGGGACAGTCAGAAGGCAGGCAGCAATGAAAAGCTGCAGGCTGCAGAGCACTGAGCTGCAGCGCTCCACACTGCAGACTTGTTCTTTTGCTAAGATGGAACTTAAGAAATACAGAGTTCAAAGCTGTCAAATGCTTCCAGAAGCTGCAAGCATGCAGCATCTAAAACAAAAGGCCTCAATTTAGTGGCAGCTTTTTAGCGATTACCACAGCATGTGGCAACAGAGGCAGTGGGTCATATAAAATGCACAGGTAATAAAATGTGGTCCACAATGGGAACTTAAATGATCTAAGTATTAAAAATATGTTGCTGCACTTCTATCCTGCAAATAACACTTGTTTCCATTTCAGAGACCAGGTCTCAGCAGTGATGTGGAGTCAGGCTGAAGGACCCACAAGGCAAATCTACAGCAATGGTAAGGCAATATATTTATTTCAGAAATAAAATATTTTTTAATTGCATTTATTCTTAAGTACACACAAAGATATATGATAAATACCCACCGTGTGGCAATTAAAGCCACACTGCAGCTTTGATATTGCCACGTTGCTGTTATTCAACCCAGTTTCAGATGCTGACCCACCCAGGTTGCCAGTTTTTACAGTTGGACTCCACTTGAGTTTAGTTGCTGCATAGCAGGCCCAAATATATGTATTGTTACTGCTTCTTTGTGCAACGGCTTCACTCAATTTCTTTTAGTGTTGATTTATTTAAAAACAGCAACAGGTTATCTTCCACAACAGTGTAATCACAGTAACTGATGGTAACAGCAGTTTACTCATGCCAAGGCATCTAATTCCTACTGCTGCTAAGTCTCAGTTCCCATAGCCCTCCAGGAAGGATACAGACAAATCCAGCTTGAAATAAGTTTCAGTGGGATCTGGGATTCTGAGCCCTGCAGAAAGGGATTCATAGATGTGCTTCTTTCTAGCACTGGTACATAGTTGTATGATTTATAACAAAAGGGTCAGTGAAATACTTTTATTCTCACTGAGCATGATTTATAAATTTTATAATTTCTGGTCTTCATTGATTTTAAAAGAATTTTTAGCATGCAAGCAGCTGTTTAATGCATTTTAACCCCAAAGAGGGAATTTGCATTAGTATTCCCACTAGAATGTTTGTCCTTTCGTGTCCATGCATTAAGTCTCTGTTTAAAATCTGTCCATGTCCCTAATCTCCCAGGGGAGCTTTCCCTGAATATTCAATGTTAGTCCACAGTCTGTAACAAAAGAGGGAGGGGAAAAAAAAAAAAAAGAGGGGAGAACAGTGTTTATGCATAAACTTTAAGAGCCTTTTAAACATAAAAAAACACATGCACACACAAAAGCACCTCAACTATGGAGCCTGGCATTTCCACAGCAAAGATCTGACACTAAGTGCAGTTTTTCAAGTTATCTAATTTACAATAAGGGCATCAGACATCTGAGCTCCAGATGCACTCATTCAGGCAGCCAGGGCCATAAATAAAATAGAAAAGAATGCTCTGACTCCACCATGGGTTTCACAGAGATGTGTTGAAGGTCTAGCAGATGGGTTTTGCTGTCTCAGCTTTTACCTGTGTAACAAAGTAAATGCATAAAGCTGCTTACTGGTTTCTTCAATTCAAAACCTTTGCATTTGCTCCATATGTTCCCATGAAGATAGGGCTAATTTAAACAATGAGCAAAATCCTACTCCTCAGGGAAGCTGATGGCAAAACTCCCACTGGCTCCAGCAGGCTCTGGATGTTGCTCAACGTAAATGCATTTGGCTGAACTTGACCAATAGCATAGCCAATACTGTAATCAAATTTGTATTCCTTCATCTACAAATTTGCCACCCTGACACTTCCCCTGGTGCTGCTTTTGTCCCATGGTTCTTGTGGAAGAACAAAGCCACTGACACAGCTTCTGTCACCAAAACTGGTGTCGCTGCAGCCTCAGCCCATGCTGACCACCAGCTCTTTCCCATGGAGGGGTGATAAACCCTCTCTCGAATTAGAACAACATATCAAAACATTTTGTCATACCACTAACTTTGTTCTGCTCAATCTACATGCTCCATCTACAAAGCAGAAAACTAGAACCACAAATTTGAAAGACAGTGTATCAGATAGAAAAAATTTCTGATTTTCAAGAAAGTTTGCCAGTTGAGAAATGAGTGCTTTCCCTCACACAGAGACTTCATCATCATCATTCAGTCTAGCTTTCATACACATCTGAGCATTCTTTTTAAAGCCAGTCTGCTGTTTGGGCAGATGGCATGGAAATTTTACAATCCATTTCATCCCTGATGCCTAAACTTAGTGCTCACTCTTAATAATGGGATATACACACAGATACATAAATGAACACACATGCATATACTGACATGTGAAGAGAAGAAAACATTTCTGACGTGTTCTTTAATTATTAGTGAATGCAGATTCCTGAGCTTAGCTCATACTAGAAGTACATCTTCAAAATGGCACATTTGTCTGACTTTAGGAAAAAGTATGTACTGTGAGCAACTAAGCAATGCCTCCTAGTTTAGTATTTCTGGAAAATCAATTCCTCTGTGTCTCTCTTAATTCTTAACAAAATACATCTGCTCACCTGTACCACTTAGTTTTAAAAGATGACCATTTGGGTGGCCACATTCAGTTTGGTAACTGGGGATGCTCACTATGTGCCACACTTTGCTCTGATCTGTGCCTGCAGTCTCAGATTCTCTTGCCAGAAATACATTCAGCTATTTAAAGGTATATTTGACTTATTTGATTTCATAACCAGGGAATATTGTTTTCCTCTCAAGATTCTGGATTTAAAACAGAAAATCCTAGCACTGAGAATAGGAAGTTGACAGAGAGAGAAATACCCAGTCTGGGACCAAAGCCTGCATCAGGAGGAAGCAACAGGGGCAACTCCAGGGATGGGAGGTAGTATAGGGAACAGGCATCAAGAAAGTTGCTGGACTAATGCATTGCTTATCCGTGGTTGGATATGTCCTTTCAGAGCCCTCCTTAAGAAGCAACACTTGACTCAAGCAGCTCTTGCAATCTGGGCTCTGCTGGTCTCTCCATGCTTTGGATCAGTCACTATTCAAAATCCCTATCCCTGCCTAGTCTCAGGAGCAGCCCCCCATAATACACTCCCAATTCCAGTCAAAGCACTACTTTATAATACAGCTCAGGGAAGGACAGAGGAGGAAGACAATAAACATGTTTGATGACTGATGAGTTAGACTAACTAGAGAATGTGCTTAAAGCAAGTTGTTTCATAAATGGCAGTGCTTTTATGTTTGCTTTACCCCTTTTAGACTAGATCATTGCAATTCCTTTTCTCCATTTAATGGTGACATAACTAAGTGGCCAGGAGGAAGCTGTCTCACTTATCATGAAAACACAGCACACAGTAATCATAGGAGACTACTGGTTCAAGACAAAGCCATGAACTCCACATTTAAGAATCTGCTGGGCTGTAATTCTGAAGAATGCATTTATTAGCAAAATTCTGGTTTTATAAGCTGCCGATCAAGACACAGCTCCCTTCAGCACTCTACAAGAGGTATGAATCATGAGCCCTGTAGTGCATTGCCATAAGATTTGACTTTAGAAATAAAAGTCAAATAAAAGTCTGCTGTTCAACAGCAGAACATCTCAGTTCAGTCTTCTCTTTCTATAACTACTACTTAGTCTCAAATCTGAATGAAACAGCTCTGGAATTATGCATGCACTCAATGTTCTCTTAGTATCTATCACTTACTATCTTATTCAGTATAAAGGCATAATGGTGAATTTCTAAGTCAGACATCTGCTTGATTAGCAACATTTTCAGTATCTGGCTACTTTGCAACACTTGGCAGCTAAGTAACACAGGTCTAGTGCGCTGTCAGTCATATGGACTTTTTTGCTTTGCGAGGGTGGTGCTAGAGGTTTCCCAGATATCCCTTATTTCAAAGGAGGAAAAAACCCACAATGGCCAGCTCTGTACCAAACCACAGGTAAACAGAATTCAATGGTTCAAGGTTAAAATTGGCCTCCAGCTAGCTGCACAGACTTCTCCCACAGGTATTAAACAGGAAACTTTTAAAGCTTAAAAATAGTTACAGTTATGTGACTTATGCTTGTAAAAAGATTTTTGTCATGTACATGAAGACTAGAAGCTTTCCTCCTTTGAAATGTTTGTGTTTGACGCTTCCTCTATAGCACAGCAAGTCTGTTTTTCTCTCCTGCATGGGCTGTGGGCTGTTTTGTTTTGCTATTTTGTTCTTTTTTCTTTCACAAATCAAGCTGTCGGCAGCATGGGAAGTAATTCTGTAACTGAGACACGTAAGAGCTCTGTTCTGAGACTGCACTGCTGTGCCTGTAAAGTCACCCTTGGAAACAAGAGCACTTGAGAGTATCTCAGCACACAGTGAAAGGCTTTTCGCTACGGTTTGTTTAGCTGAAAAGGAAAAACGTAATTCAAGTAAAAAACTCCAGAGACTAGAGATGCTAAAAGTATGAGGTCTCTGCTGAGCTTCCTGCTACTGCAGGCCACAACCACTAAAGTGCCCTGTGTTTGAATATTCATTTTTGTGGGGACAATGCTTTTGGGCTGGGAGATAAACCTAGTTTTCTTGGACTGATATGAAAGCTAACAGTAACATATGCTCCTCTCCTACTACCACAACCAATCCCAACACTACGGAAGTCCAGTCCAATACTGAAGGGCCATGCTGCACACAGCTGATTGCTACACGAATTGCTTTAGCCTGCTGTTAACTTCTTCCTCTGCTCCTCAACTCACTGCTTTGTATCATGGCTCATAGCTGTTCTCTCCACATTTCCAGACTTCATCCCCAGCAGAGCCATCCCATCTGTCTCCAGATGCCACATCTAGCCACCACTTCCCAGGTGGCCCAGTTTACCTAACCTCAACCTCCTGCAGGGCCCGGGAGCCTATCTCCACCATCAGATGCACTGTGCTTAAACAGCCCAGCTATGTAATTAGCAGTGCAGCTGCACAGCCACCAACCTGCCAGTAGCATGTGGCAGACCACATCTTGGCAACTATTAATCATACATTGCATAAGAAACAGTCGCTTCACGCAGGCTAGTCTTTCCACTCCCGAATCACGTAAAGGACATAAAAGCTTTTGGCCATGCAGAAAAGTGAACAAAATGAGTGGTAATTAACTCTCATGACTACAAAGGCTAACAACTTCGGCACTTGCAAAGGGGATCAGAGGCAGCTGAGCTGAGAAAGAACTGTAGCAGAACAAGTATTTGCCTGGGAGCAAACACTGCCAGAGTGCTTATTTTAGAATGAATAGTCATGTTAGTTAACTAGAGCTAACTATTGAACAAATAGCTCACGTTACAGCATACCGAGGTACACTAGATGCATCCTTTGATCTACTGCCTGACAGACCTACTGCAGTGATTTTTTCCCCAGAAATTAAAAAAAAAACCCTTCATAGCTGATTCTGGCTTTTGGTACAGTCGTTTCACAGGTTAATGGAAACGAAACTTGCATGAAAAAGGAACCTAGTCACTGCAGCATGAGATATTTACATTGAGCAAGAGCATGTGGTTTGCAAAGAAGGAGAGGAACCAAATTAAAAGTTTGCCTGTAAATCAACACGTGTGACTGTTACCCCCCTAACTCCTATCTCTGTCAGGACAGGCAAGTTTTGGTGCCTACCTGTCCTTGACGTTCCTGACCTTTTAACACAACTGCAGCCTCTAAGCACCGGGATTAGGCCTGCTGCTCAGCAGCATACTATGCAGCCTGCCACACCCTTCGTGCCACTTACTTAAAATACCAGTGTGGACAACGATTACCACTTCCATGATTTTCAAGAAGTAGAGGATGAGAGCAGGGGTTTGGGGAATGTTTTTTAAGGCAGTCAAAATTAATCCCGAAAATTATAAGTAAAATGTGTTCTGATTATCGCCATGAAATTAAACACATCTTATCTGGAAACACACATGAATTGAGGAGCAAAAGTTTCTTTTTTATATGACCTGCTTTACACTGGTCATAAACTAAGGGATTTGACAGGGATTAAAGATTCACTTGTCAGCTGCTATGTCCTTTAATAAGCTTCCAAACATCTATACTGACAGAAGCAGCGTGTACCCAATTTAGCAAATCAGGCTATCTCTGTTGAGGTTTCACTGTAGCTCTGAAGACCTGGAGAAAGTATTGAATACAGTGACTCTTCTGCCCCCCTTAGGGACGTAACCTACTAAACAAATTTTCTTCAAACCCAGGTTTTGTGGATTGGACAATAAAAGTACTAACTTAATTTCCAGAAGCTGCATAAAGTGTGTGTGGCTCTCCAAGTTCTAGTGAGGAGAAATTCACATACCAAAACCTCATGTTGTGCTCTGCTATGTCCCGGTTTTGTATCTCCTGTTCTAGTTCTGGTCCACAGCAAACTTCCCCATCTACTCTCGTTCACAACTATGCCACAAATTGGTAGGGATGGCCTTGTTTGTAAAGCACTTGACAGCATTTAGGGGACCTCTGCCACAGACAGATGCTGACTGTTTAACCCAGCCAAACCATCTTAATCCCTGTTTTGCACTCTCACCTGTAATATAGAGATGATAAAATTTCTTGAACTTTCCAGCTAAATATTATTCTACTTTTTATGTGGTACATTACTTAGGACAGAGGGTCAACCACATACTTACCCAGAACCAAGCACAAATCACTCTTTGCTATAATTCTTTGGCATCTCTGGGTAAAAATCAGCCCCTAAGATGTTAACCAGCTTTTGTTTAACCACATTTTTAGAGTTCAAACCAACTGCAAAACAGACCAGGCAGATTCTCAGTTTGGGCCCTTAGGTTTACCTGGTTTCCATCCTCCTGTCTTTCTATGCTCTGGGCAATTCCAGGTAAGTCTCTTGCTGGTCTCTTACACTTGTTTTGTGCCATCTTACACTGCTGGAGCCATGCAAGGAACTGTAATAACAATACTAACTGCTCAGCTTTGACAGGACATAGCTATTTTTACTGGATTACTTTTCTGGCACAGCACTTAATGCACCAAATGATTTGACACCTGTAATTTTATACTTGGAATAACACAAGGCATTCATACTTCTTTTGTAATGTAAGATAAAAGCAAACACTACATATGTTCTCATTCCAGGGCTGCTGTCTGGCAGCTATTTGCCCAAGGAGAAAAAAGTACTGTTACATTACAGAATATGTGGAAAAGTAAGAGCTATGGAAAAGAAATCATTAAAGAGCTAACTTATTCCCCTGCTAGCACTAGACTGCTCCCTGCAGCATGTTTCAGAGTGTTTCGTCCAGTCTGGTTTTACAAGTTTCACGTTACTTTCATTTATATATTTATTACAGCACCGAGTCCAGTGTGGTTTGGTGCTGCTTATTTTTCTTGTCTTTCAACTAGAAGACTCAGTGCTAGACCAGCTGTTCATATACAGTCAGCTCCAAAACTACCGAAAAAATAGCTGGACTCTTTCCACTGACTTCAACAGGCTTTGGATCAGGCTCAGGAAAAGACGATGAATACATTTCATGTAAGACTAAGCAGGTTACAGTCAGCAAAGTATAAAGAGGATTAGCTGTGTGCAATCCTAAGGCACATTACTCTGTGTGCTGAAACAACTGGCTAACACACTTTCACTTTCACAGAGAGAAAGGTCCAGATTAATTTCTGGTGCTTTGCCATCAAGTCAACACTACCATGCCAGGAACAAGTGTGATCTGGAATCTGCCCAGTTAGCATCATTACAGCTGGGATTTTCCTAAACTAGAGGTGAGAAAATTTATTTTCTGAAGATGAAAAACCAATAAGCAAGTCATAGAATTATACAATGGTTTGGGTTGGAAGAGACCTTAAAGATCATCTAGTTCCAACCTCCCTGCCATGGGATTTCTGCTTTTCAATTACGGTTAGGTCTTTAGTCTGGAGACCCTATGGAATGGGTAACAGGACAAAGACAGTGGGTTTGGTCTCTTTGCTCTGCCAGGGAAAGAGGGATTCTCTTTTTCAGAACCTAAAATGGGTCATGTTTGGCTTAAAACATTTAGACCTTTCTGTCATCAAAATATATAGGCAGCCATAAGCCACTAATTTGTGCATTTTTTACAGAGCACTGATACTACAACACACCCCCACTGTGTCTGCTTCGCGTGTATGGCTTTGGAAAGCTAGAATGCCTTTTATCAGGAATTATTTTATCAGAGGGGGATTCATTCTGAACAACACAATCAAATGAAGACGGTGGTGTGCAGTTATTCTTCCCACCCTTTCGAAGTTCACAGTAAAACATGTCAGAGTTAGTGATGTTCTCAGCCGCTGAGAATGCTTTAATCAACAAGCCTTTTTTTTTCCTTCTCCCTCTGTTCCCTAGGGACAGAGGACTTCATGGCACTGCTTTGTTGTACAATGTATACAGTTATAACCTACGCTGAAAGTATGCTATTAATGAATGAACACTGGGTGTTGTGTGTGTCGAGCAGATGAGAATGTTCTTTTGATCTTCTGAGCTCCACCACTGTGGCAGATGGATGTCTAAATTGCTTTATTAATGCACTGAAGTATTCCATCATTTCTCAAACAATACTGAAGGAATAATCAGAATTTCATTGAGCTGTGATTTTCTGCCTTTCCATTTCAAATCTAGCTGGATGTTAGGCAGTAGGGAAAAAACTATTTATTTGTTTGTTTGTTTGTTTATTAATTTTCATGGGGGTTGGAGGAACATATCATATGCTTGACTCTCTCTGAAGCAGCTAACAAAGCTTCTCAAATTTCTGTTTCATTTCAAAGCAGTTTTCACACAATATAGGAGCTGTATTTAGCTTTAGGTACAATTTTGAAATTAGTTCAAATGAGGAAGACAACAGATTCAAAGCTTTTTTTGAGGATAATGTAGAATCTGAATAAGCATGTTTAAAAAGCATAGAGGTATCTGAATATGATGACAAGAATGGTTTTATCCCCCAACACATAAATAACAGTGGAAGACCAAATAACCCAACCAGTTTGAGGCCACAGAAACATACTAAAGAAAGCTTATATGTAATTGCCCCTAGGAAAATGATGGAGAAAATCCTTGATAACCCTTCCAAATATTTGATTCTAATGTGGTGTTGGGACAAAAACTGTGAATCCACCCAAATTTTCCCAGATTGAATGACATACCTATAAATGACAAGTAGGAGAGAAAAAGATGCAATGTAGGGCCTCTGTTCTGTAAATGAAACAAATCAAACTACCACTTCACAGGCAGCTAAGCTGATCTAACAAGCCACTTGCAGAAGTGCGAGGTCAAGTCTCTCAATCTCTTTCCCAGCCTCCCAGATGCAATTGCAAGAGCTCCGGTACTCCTCTGATCATAGAATCATAGAATGGTTTGGGTTGGAAGGGACCTTAAAGAACATCTAGTTTCAAACCCCCTGCCATGGGCAGTGATGCCACCCAATAGATCAGGATGCTCAAGCCCCATCCAAACTGGCCTTGAACACTTTCAGGGATGGGACTCCACAGCTTCTCTGGGTAATGTGTTCCAATGTCTCAACACCCTCACAGTAGAGAATTTCTTTTAATATCTAATGTGAACCTATTGTCTTTTAGTTTAAAACAATTCCTCCTTGTCCTCTCCATAGGCCCTTGCAAAAAGTCTCTCTCCAGCTTTTTAAGGTCCCCTTCAGATACCTGAAGGCTGCTCTAAAATCTCCCCAGAGCCTTCTCCTCTCCGGGCTGAACAGCCCCAACTCGCTCAGCCTATCTTCACAGGAGAGGTGGTCTGGCCCTCTGAGCATCTTTGCGGCCTCCTCTGGATTTTTTCCAACAGGTCCATGTCCTTCTTATGTTGGGGGCCCCAGAGCCGGACAAAAAGCTCCAGGTAAGGGCTCACAAGAGCAGAGTAGAGGGGCAGAATCACCTCCCTTGACCTGCTGGCCACACTGCTTTGGATGCAGCCCAGGACACGGTTGGATTTCTGGGCCGCAAGCACGCATGGCCGTGTTGTGTCAAGTTTCTCATCAACCAACATCCCCAAGTCCTTCTCTTCAGGGCTGCTCTCAATCCATTCTCTGCCCAGCCTGCACTGGTGCTTGGGATTGCCCCAACCCAGGTGCAGCACCTGGCATTTGGCCTTGTTCAACTTCCCAAGGTTCACATAGGCCCAGCTCTCAAGCCTGTCCAGGTCCCTCTGGATGGCATTCCTTCCCTCCAGTATGTCAAACACACCACACAGCTTGGTATCACTGGCAAATTTGCTGGTCCTTTACCTTAAATGTTAAATCATTTAGTCAGCTGATTTACCTCAAAATTCCAGAGAAACCTACCCACCTTTCTGCTATTTTTCTTCCAGGCTAACAGGTCACAGTGGCTAATGAAAGGATCCAACATGTCAGAACCAGTGCAAGGTAAGCAGCAGGATGACCAAGGACTCCTGGGAGAGCACAGGACTGGGGACTACAAACTGAAATTGCCTGAGGGTGTGTCATGGAAGCACTGTCTTAGTGCAAGGACTTGTTATTAAAAGGGAAGGGGGTATCGAAGGGAGAAGTGGAACGAGTAAGGGTCCTGTTGCTTTAGTGAAGGAGTGTGTATATCACAGTGCCAACCAGAGCCGTAGGAATCCCATATGTCTGCAGAGGATTTCACGGGTAGAAAAAACTGTGTGCATATGCAGCATCTGCAGCACACCCAGGAGCAGCGGATGTATAATCTATATGCAAATAACTGTGTAGTTCCCCCACAAAAGCATGGGGCCAACTCCACAGTCTTAGTAGCTGCACAATATATCTACATCAAGTCTGCTGTTTCATGTGTTTTGCACTTCATATGCGTGGTTGGACAACACAGCACATATGCAGAGCTGCTTCTGCTGGGGGCTTCACGTTCTGTAACAGCAGTGAATGCTCACAGGCATGCAGCAACTAGTTCAGAAGTGTCTGCTCCCTACAGCTACAAGGTGCCTGGAAAGCCCAGACAAATTTATAGGTCCTCAAAATCTGCCCAAATATGATTTTCAGGTGGAAAGAGTAAGTCTGTCTGGGAAAATGAAGCCTGCAGCATCTAGGAAGTCCTTTGCTACCTGTAGAAAAGCAAATATAGGACAGCAAAAGTTTAGGAATGTCTGTTCTGATGAACTGAAGGCAGGGCTGGAGCTCAAGTCTCAAATTCTTCTTTACCTGTCTTCTCCACTGACTTGATTTACCACAATTGCATTTTACAACAAATTTGAGAGGACGTGCTTTCACATAGTGGAAATATGAGAGGTGTCCTGTAGTTCAGCTTCACAAATGTTCCTGTTACTGAGGCCATTACAAAAGCTGTGTAAGGAACTTACTTCAGGTCTAGACACCTGTGAAGAAAATAACTGTAAACAAGTAGGAGGCTATGCACTAACATGAGAATCCACCCTTCTCACTCCTTTATATGGCATTGGCTTATAAAATTAATTACTTACATACCTCACAGAGACGCAATATTTAATTAATATTTGTTAAGCGCTTTGAAATTCTGATGGAAGACATCATATTACCGTGCATTATGACTAATACAGTGTAAAAGTGATGCCAGTGGTGTTGCTCAAGCAGAATGCTGAAAGGATATCTACTCAGTTTCTGATTTAAAAGGGGAATTAGGAAAGCATTTTAAAACTCAGCCTAAAGAAAAAGGGAGAACAGGGGAGGAGAGGAGCTAAAACAGTTTTCAGAGGAATTTACTATGCAGTGTGCATTAACTCTCGCAGTTACAGTGTAGGCACCTACAGCAAAATCCTGGCTCCAGTCAAGTACATGGAAAATGTTTCATTGACTTCAGTGAGGTGAAGATTGTTAGTTTTTGTCATAATTTCCAGCAGATGCATCCCATACAGAGGTTTACAACTTTGAACGGTTGATTGTTTATAGTTTAGGTGCAGGAAATAATCTCATCAAGTCAGGGCATGCTCACCATGTAAAAACAATGGCTCAGCTTCTAATCTTTCTACTACATCCCACACTTGGAGTAAATCTTTCCATTCTGTTAAAGAATTTGGACCTGGGCTACCTATTGAAGTTGGTGGCAAAACTTCAATTAAATGGAAGCAGTGTGGAGATCACCACAGATTTTGTAATAAACACGGGAGGCAAACATCCTGTGTTTAACAGTGGTTGTAACTCATATACATCCCTGGAAATCAACTAATTTACTCAGAAGCCTGTGGAATTCATAATTAATCCCTGACTGGAGGGAAAAAAAAGAAGTAACAGAAACTCAGACAACTTATTTTTTAAGCATTCATCCTTCATACCTAGCAGGATTAAGACTGGAGAAACATGTTCCTCACCACTTCTGGGTAAGGCAGACTTAAAGACTACATTTTTCAACTGAAAGCTTTGCACCTGTGAGGCTTAAAGGAGAAAGGTTTAAAAGAGAAGCAGGTGAGAGGCAGCAAAACTTGAAAGAAAGTACCTGGGAGCTTCTAGTATTAAGAAGGCTCACTGTACTGCAGGAGCCTTCAGCTACTTTAGATAGGAAACTAAGTGGAAAATTTTGAAGGATACAAGTTTCAGTACATTTTTATTTTTTAAAAGGATTGAAGACTGTTATGTGGTGTGTACGGGAGTCTTGGTAAGGTATTAATGTTTCTTTTCCAAGTGGTGTGTGATGATTTCCATCTTCTTAATGTGCTCCTATACAACACAAGGAATCTTATTAGTACTATTATTCTAAACCAGCTCTTAAGGTGGGCTTTTCTAACTGTGCTACGTGTAAAAACCTTGTACTACAGCAAAACCAGCACTTCTAGAGCAGTTTTGCGTCCACGCAATTGCTAGAACTAATGTAACGATGAAGTTGCACATGGCAACTTTCCCTTTTGCTTCTGCTACTGTGCTGTATGCTTTTAACTGTAGAGCAGGCTATGAAGCATGTAGGCTTTTAGCTTTCTCTCTCAGTGCTTGTACAGCTGTGTCCACAAATGTACATATCCAGTAAAATCCAAGGAAATGTTCCTGGGTGCCAGGATTAATCTTAGGTAACTGCAGCTCTAATAACTCACATGCTTTCTACTTAACAGAGAATTTTCATAAACTTCTTGCAGCAGCTCACATTGTAGCTCCATTTGCTGACAGTTGCTTTCCCATTCTAGTGGAATAAGCAACATCATTTTTCCATCTAAACTCAGTAGTCAAAATGGCTTCATGTATGAACAGCTCATATTGCAGCTCTCTGGATCCCAACAACAGATGGTATTAAGGGGTCAAGGAAAAAATTCAAGCCTAAAGCTTTTATTGACTGAAAGTTAAATGCTTAAGTCATGTGAAAACAGTGCTGTGTCATTCAGTTACACAGATAGGCTGTGTCTCCTTCCTCAGAATGCTCATTAATAACATACTTACTGGACAACCAGTTCCATTAAACACGGCAAGTGTTCCTTTGAAATCTGCCTTTATTATGGCTGGAGAAAATGGCGGGCAGAAAGTACAGAGGAAAAATCATTCCATCTTGTTTGGCAAGACTGCTTTCAGGGAAGACCACTGAAGAGATGCTAACTCTGTGTTTTGGAGGGATCTTAATTTTGTGGAGGAGTCAGAAGAAAACGATACCAGAGATCAGAGTATGCAGTCAAAGACCATTACTTAGTGATGTCTGCACTGAGCTGACAGGACATGAAGGACTTTTTAAGACAATATTGTTCCTTGTTTTAAGACCTCAGGAAAAACCACCATCCTTCTAAATAAGGAATTTCATTACTTGTTTGCCTCGCTGTGTGTCCGTCTACATTATCCTTGATTTTTTACCTGACTAGGTCTGTCTTTCTCCTACTGGCTTATCCTATTTTCCCCAGTAGGCTAAAGAGTAGCCCAGCAGCAATCTCTAAAAACCCACACCTGTATGGAAAGTATCTGAACTGACTCTAAATCAATCTAATCAATCCTAATCACTCTTAACTCACATGCTTTCCAGAGTAGGTTCTCACAGTTCTCTAACCTTTTAACTTATGTTTCTGTGCCTGGTTTTCATGTTAAAACTTCTTTCATGCTTCTCTTATGCCATGAACAGGACACAAATCTGTTAATTTATGTCTCTGGCAAGACTTGTATTCCTTCTGCTCATAGCCTGCCAAAACAAACTCTAGTTAGGCAGTTTAGTCACTGCAAAAGTCTTCGCATTCTGAGTATCTTCTTATTTTCTCCTACCTCAGAAGTACCCTACATACATTTCCCAGCCTCAGGGTGAATAATTTCTCATGTTACATTAAAATGAATGTTGTTCAGATGACCATGTCTTTTAGAGTAGTCCAGACCTTGATGTACCACCCTGTGTTTACACTTCCAATTTGTGGTGTTCACCAACACCACATAGCCAGTTGTAGATGCTCTTGTAGACTGCTAAAAGACTGAAAAGCACTGGTGCAAGGTCTTTGGGACTGTGTTAAGACTTCTGCTAGCTCAAATTTCCCTATGGATATTCCCATTTCTTATGGGTCTTCCTTCTGGGGATGTTTAGTACATCAGTTTTTAAATTATTTTAATGCTAGACTGGATTTTTATAATTAATGCTGGCTATATCTGTATCTGCTCTGAAAATCAAAACACCTGATGGTAAGAGTTGTGTTCCTACTACGTAGGCTTTGTGTGTATTGTTTTTTAGGGTAGCTCAGGCTTGTTCTCATGGACTTTCCCACCTATGAGTTGTGGAGAGAGTTAGGCATTCACCTGTGGTGCAGCCTCTGATGATCCATCTGAAAACTTCATGTTCAAGGCAAAGTGCAGTACACGGAGACAATCTGCTTCAAACCCATGCTCTGGGCTCTAACTCATTTAACAGCATCAAAGTGAGAATCTGCACTAGCGCTGGAGCATAGATCAACACCTGTCAGACAGTCTGGGAGATTACTGTTGCCATTAATGAACTTAATCCCCATCTGGAGAAGGCACACAGGGATGAGGAAGATTTCTATCTCTTTGTTAGTTAATGGGAGAAGCTTACAAAGCCAGTATTCAAAGCAGATACAGCTACAGATATGAAAAAAGAAAACATTCCCTGTTCACGTGCCTCCAGTTTGATCTACAAGACGTCTAATTATATGATGGCAGAACACATTTTGATGTAAGGGATAATTGGGCTTACTATGTTTAGTACAGTGATCAAATTAATGTCAGGATTGACTTTTTATTTGGTCTAAGGAGGTGTAAGAAAGGCAAGGCAAAACCCCTATTATCTACTGTGTACTGAGGATATGCAGAGAGCACTCTGAGACAGCTCTGGAAACAGGGAATATTTCAGCTGGTGGGATGCTATGCAATCACTTAACAAAAATATAGGAATACTAAGAAAAGCATATTACTCTGCCCTGGGAGAAGGGGGCTGAGGGGGTTAAACACAAGTGTTATTACTGCTGTGGAGCTATTAAAAAACCATCACTACAGCAGATAAAAGTATTTTGTCACTTAAGACATTCTAATACCAGAAAGCATCTCTGAAACCTGCTGAAAGGGAAATGTCAGTATAAAGTAGCTGGTGATGCTTTACAAATTGTTCACAACAGGGAAAAGACTAAGAAGCAATGTTGAACTGATAACTGGAACAGTGTTACTAAAATTTCAAGTTTTCTTGTGTATCAAGTAACTTTTCAGAAATACACTCTAAAGGAGTTTCTATTCCTTACAAGATGATGAGTAGAAAAAAGTAAGACTACGTCTTCAAGAGGTTAGCTCCCATACTGGCTTGATGGTCACATAACTGCTCCTTCCAGAAACTAAGAAACAATACAGCCTTTTTCTGCAACCTTTTCAGTTATGCAAAATCACAGCTCAAAACTGTAGACTAAGTCACTAACAGCATTACAGACAAATAGAAAAATGCAGCTAAGTCCCTTTTTTCCCTCTCCCCTCCCACTTGCTTGAATATGCAAGCATTTCAAGATCAAGTCTTCGCACAGATCAGTTGTTGACTTCTGTTTCTCTGGCACTTGTATAGGTGGGAGCTGGACAAGCAGTGAGGTTGATGTACAAAAGAAGGCTAGAGCTGGTGCAGCCAGCCTTCAGGTATGTATCTAGAGCTCCCTTCTAATTTTCAGAACAACCACAAGTTGGGCTGCCACCAAACTGTCCCCAGAGATGCTCTAAGGCCTCTCCCCCTGACTAAGTAAGGCAGGACAGGTAAAGAAGGGAAACTGCTGTGCCATAACAATGCTCACATGGACCTCTGCTGTATAACAGGTAAGTTGCATTCACCTGTGCTGGTTAAATTGCAGTAGGTATAAAAGAAAGGCCAAGTGCCCTAACAGCAGTGCTGCTTGGGAGGGCATGTGTGGCCTTGTCTCTTTGTGTGAGCGCCAGCTCTAAAGGTGCCTTAAGTGTAGTGAAAACAACCCCCAGCATCAGCTCTTCTTCCTGCTTGATTTTATGTTGTGGTCACAGCTGCACAGGTAAGGATGTTATTTTGCTTCTCTGGCATTGAGTCAAAACCCAGAAGTTTGTATTAGAAAAGTGGCCTGGAAAGTACTGCACTAACAGACATGCAAAGCCTCTGACTTCTGGGGAATAACCAGCTTTGAAGTAAAATATGCTCAGCAATAATCCGTGCACACTTCATTAATTTCAGAACTGCAACAGCAAAGTACTACTTAGAAAAAGCTGTAAGATAGTAATGAAGGGTTTGGGGTTTATTTTTATTTTTAATCCCCAAAGCTCCTTATCTCCATTCTCCATGTTTTTTCATTCAATTTACAGTAGTCTAAATTAAAGCTCATCCAACAAAAAAGTGACACATTAAGTTTGACTAACCTCTTCACCCCTCCCTTGATGACAATCCTTTCTTCCTCAAGGGAAGAAATGCAACAACTTTGCAATGGCTACATTGCTTGTTTAAGATAACTTTTCTTTGCACTTTGTGTTTAATGGAATTTGGCTGATCTGGGATATTTTAGCTCTTTAAATAATTGAGATAGTGACGGCAGCAGTTCTTGTCAAGTCTTAACGAACACAAAAGGGTCTCTAGGCACCAAGCTGCCAGAAAGGCAGTATTTTATTATCTGTCAACATGCACGCATCTTGCTCTACCACACCCCCAGTCAAATTTGAGAACCCCTTAACACGGGCTACTGCATGACATGAAACATCAGTTACTGCTCAAATTTGAGTCAAAGCTTAGACTTAAAGAGTAGTTGCAGTCCAACACTGCTTTTAAATGCAGCAGTGAGTTGCTGCTGCATGGGGGACACTCGTGTCCCTTTCCCTCCTTCTGCTGGCCTGTGTAGCTGCAGTGAATGCTGTGTCCAGAAAGCTGGAATGCACTGGAAAAGAAAAGTTCAAAAATCTAGTCGATCCCTAAACCTGATACAAGAGGTACAGCACGATGTTCAGCTGGGCAGTGGAACAGGGCCATCTTGCTGCCACAGCCTGCTATTACTCCAGCCTGTGAGACTGGACTAGGGAGAAGGGTTTTTTGGTTGATTGAACACTTCAGTTTATCAAAATCTGGCTCTAAAAGAAGCAATCCAGCCCGCTTTCATGCCTAATGCTCCCTTCTAGCACTTTAAGAGTTCATGTGAATGAACAGAAAGGAATTGAGTCAAAACCAACTAGGCTGGGAAGCAGGAGGAACCAATAAGAAGGGATATGGGAAACCTCGTCTTGTTTAGTGATCAGAGTAGTCTTAAACTGGAATGTTTCGACTTTTAGAGAAAGAAACATGGCAATCCCTTTCCTATGCAGCGTCTGAACATTAAATGTGTTGAAGACAACCTGATCACTTCACAAGTTGTGCCTGAATGACAAAGTACAGCTGACTGTAGTTTTCTGATAATACAGATGAGTTACTGCAAATAACTTGCCTTATGTTTGCCCTACCTCTTCACCTTTCCACTGGTTTTGGTCCTGTCAACCCGTTCCCCACAGCACAGGGGCTCCAGGGGCCTGGGCCTCTTTTAAACTGTTTTAAACTGTGCATATTTTAAACAAGGGATGTTTTCTGCCACGGCCCGCTGGCTACGGGGCAGAAGCAATGGTGGATGTGCTGCGCCTCCTGCACCTCAAACCTGCATGGAAGCTAGCGGTGTCTTTGAAAATGATAGCTACGTGGGTGAAGCCAACGTTGAAGGAGAAGGTCCTTACGGCAGCTTTAATATTTTGCGTGCATCAGGCTTTGTTTGTAGCTTCCTAGGTAAACTTGCCTCACGCCCCGCTTCCAGAAGGGGGTGAAGTGTATTTGAAGTGCAGTTACCCTTAGCGCGGCCCTGGTACTCGCACTGCGAGGCGGTGTATATGGTCACTGCCCTCGGACGCGCTCTCAGGGTCTCGGGCTCCTCGCTCAGCGCGCCCGTGCCCCCCATGACGGCACCGCTCCCCTCGCCGCGGTGCCACCGCTCAGTGCCCCTGCTTTGACCCCTGCCGCCTCTGTATTCCCTGCCGTTCTCCGCAGCCGCTGCTGTACTGCCTCGGCCGCATCCCTTCTGGATCAAAGCTACCCCCGAATCCCCATTCCCGCCCTCGCGGGGCCTCGGCCGCCCCACAGCCCCTCCCGCGCCCCGGCCGCCATTTTGTGCAGCGCCGGGCCCGCCCGGGGGCCGCGGTGCGGGCGCGGAGAGGGCGGTGGGGCCCCGCCGTGGCCGCGCCTCGGGCTCGGCTGCCCGTCCGTCCCCACTCACGGCAGCGGCGGTCGGCGGTCGGGCTCACGCTTGGGCCGTGGGGGCCGCCATTGCTGCGGTACCGGCGGCGGGCGGCAGAGGGCAATGGCAGGTGGCGCTGCGAGTGCAGGGGAAGGGTGTCATCGAGTTACAGAATATGCTGAGCTGGAAGGGACCCACAAGGATCATCGAGTCCCACTTCTGGCCCCGCACAGGACTATCCCCAGACCATCATGTAGCCTGAGAGCGTTGTCCAAGCGCTTCTTGAACTCGGGCGGGCTTGGTGCTTGGAAGTGCTCCCCACTTCCTTGGGGAGCCTGTTCCAGTGCTCAGCCATCCTCTGGGTGTTTTTTCCTACAGCTCCCCTGACACAGCTTCATGCCGTTCCCTTGGGTTCTGTCACTGGTCGCCAGAGAGAAGAGACCAGTGTTTGCCCATCCTCTTCCCCCTACGAGGAAGTTATAGACTGCAATGAGGTCTCCCTTTAGTCTTTTCCAGGCCGAACAGACCAAGTGACCTCAGCCGCTTCTTGTACGGTTTCCCACTACAGACCCTTCACTGTCCTCATTGCCCTCCTTTGGACGCTCTCTTTCTTACATTGTGTTCTGTTGCATCGTGTCTCAACCAGGGCTTTTTTATCGAGGGTCCCTCTCCTCGGCATCCTAGTTGAGGGTTTCCCCTCGGTCTGTGCCTTGCTGGAGCTGGTGGGTGTCCCACAGCTGTGGCTTCGGCTGCGGCGCTAAGCTGTGGAAAGCCTGCAAAGGGAGAGCTGCAGTCCCCCAGCCGGCTGCCACCACATAGACCTCCCAGCAATCCAGGTTCCCCCAGCTCTGCACACACCTGAACTTGCTGCCAGAGATCCGCTCTCTTTTATGGTGCTTTAATATTATTTTTTTTCCGAGACAAGGCCCGATCCAAAGAACACCATAAAACGACTCTCGTGCAGTCAGATAAAACTGAAACGCTCAACAGAATCTCTGCAAATGTCCGTCCAGCAATCCCCCCAAAAAACTCTGACTCTAATCTGACCATCTAATTCATTCACTAATATTAATGTTTAATTTAATCACTGCTGTCTTTAGCTCATCTTTTTCATTCCAGATTTATCCCTCCCCATTGTCCCATGTAAGCTGGTGTCCCTGTCAGAGTTTATTTAAGTGAGCTGTCCAGTGCTGTCCCTGAGCTCAGCACTTAGGCTGTAGCATTTGCAAAGTGTGTGTGTGAGTGCTGCTGGATTACATGATCCTGAGCCTTGGCTTGCAGTTTTAATTCGTCTGAAATTAAATGATGAGTGTACCAATAACGTCAGTGTTCCACTGCTATTCCTTATTTCATTCTACCTGCTTTGATGTTTGTTGTATGTGCTTCCTGGCTGAGGAATTGAGTCAGGCACTCTCCTCGGTGCTGTTGCCAAGCCAGTTTGTTCTGTTATCCAATATTCTGTTATTCCATCTTATTTACGCTTTTTGTTTTACCGTTGTGATTTAATGGAATACTATCTGCTCTTTTATTCTTCCCTATTGATGCTGAAAATCCTCAGAATGATTAACTGCTCATAGACTTTTTCATCTATAAGCAACAAGGTATTTGTTTATTCAACGTTGGGAGCAAGCCAGCTCGTGCTGGACAAACTTGCTCAGCTTGAAAGTGCAAAAGCAAGCCATTTTATACACTTTAGATACGTGGTTACATCATCTAACATACATATTAATAAGTAGGCTAGTCTCTGGGCGGAATCTTTTCAGAATCTCTTTGGACATGCGCCGTCTTCTGCTGTGGGGGTCTTCTCCTTGAGCCTTCACCCCACTGATGTCTTCCTTGATTTGACCTCTTCAATTTTCTTTGTTAGGTGATCTGTATTCTTTAAGTTTGCAAAATTGTGGCTCTGGGCCTTCTGTATCTTATTCAAACATCTTGTTTACCTAATTTATTACCTTGTGTATACTACTCCTATTTTTTCTATAATAAGGACTTTGGTCTAGTGAGTAAAACAGACCATGATATTAAACAGTACTTCTAAAATGTTCTTCTAGCGAAACAGGCAGAACAAATAGGACAAGGTATAGCAGCTGAACCATTGATAACTCTTTTATTGTGCCTTTTTGCTATCAGTATATATATCAGTATAAAATTGTTTCTTCCCATGGAGGACTTCTAGTGGTTTCAAGTCAGCTCCTGTCATAAGGAGTTGATTATATGACTCTGCATTGCTTAGTTGTTACTGACAAAATAATTGACACTTGAAATGTTGCTACACTGTAGCAGAAATTAATTAATACCTCTCCTTACGACTTGTAACACCCCTGGGGTTGTGGAAGGTGAGAGCGGGTAGAAACATGGTATGGAAAGACAATCAGCAGAGCTAAAGGATGTGCAGATATGACTGAAGAAGAGACAATGAGAAATACAGGAAAAAAA